TTTGTTTCCTCTTTTTTTTTTTTTTGGTTTTTTTTTTTTTTTTTTTTTTTTTGTAGCAAGAATTGAACTCAGGACCTTGCACTTGCCAGGCAGGCATGGCACCACTGAGCTAATTCCCCAGCCCTTAGCTAGTCCCTTATATTCTCTTTTTTCCTCCGTTTTTTGTTAAAGAAACAAGATATTTATCCTGTCTCTCTTTGTGTGGATTTTGCTAGCTATATCCCCAGGGTTTCATTTAATGTTTCTTTGTAGCTAAAGTCATATGTGTAGGTCCGGGGATTTAGCTCAGTGGCTTTGCTGCCTGCCTCGCAAGCACAAGGTCCCAAGTTCAATATCCGGTGCCAAAAAAATAATAATAAAATAAAGTCATATATGTAGTTTTAAAAAATAGTATGATAACCAGGGCATAATGGTTCATGCCTGTAATCCCAGCACTCTGGGAGGCCGAGTCAGAGGGATTAGAAGTTCAAGGCTAGTTTGAGCAATTTAGCATCTAGTGAGATTCTGTCTCAGAATTTTAAAAAATTTAAAAAGGACTGAGGATGTCTCTCAGTGAACAACCTCTGGGTTCATTATTACCACCAGCCAACCCCTTCTTAAAAACCAAGCCAGGGGCTGGGGATTTAGCTCAGTGGTTCCAGTGCCTGCCTTGTAAGCACAAGGATCTGAGTTTGATCCCCAGTACCAAAAATAAAAAACAAAAAAACAAACTAAAATCATACATGTAATTATATATACATCCTCACATTTAAAAAGACCATGCTCAAGGAAGAAGTGGAGACCTCTTTTACTTGAGTCTGGTACATCTTTAGGAAAGGATGAGACAGCCCCAGAACTTTTGTTTCTACTAGTTTGTGTAAATTAGTAATTGTTTTTAAAACAAGCAGAGTTTGACCATAAAATGGTAGATTCTTTGCATTCAATAAAAATACACTAAAGCATCTAGCATTTGAAAATAAAAATATATACCCACGGTAAAGGACCTGCCTATCATTCACAGGGCCATGAGTTCAATCCTGGTACTGCCCTCTTATCCCCCCAAAATTGGCTTGCTCTACTTTTATTTTTGTCTGTTTTTGTTGTATTAACATTCGTTTCTTTTTCACATTCAGAGAAAGATGGCTTCCCTTCAGGAACACAAGCAGTAAGTTAATAATTTACTTCTCATTGCTTTAGTTCTAGTTTAGGTTACCCAAAGCAGATTTCACTTAAGATTAAACTCAGCCAGCCGGGTGTGGTGGCACTCACCTATAATCCCAGCACTCCAGGAGGCTGAGGCAGGAGGATTGCTGTGAGTTCGAGACCAGCCTGGGCTACATAATGAGTTCCAGGTCAGTCTCAACTACATAGTGAGACCCTGTCTCAAAAAAAAGATAAACTCAGCCGTCAAAGGTAAATACTTATACTTAATATGCTTGGGACCTTGCGCTTGCTTGCAAGGCAGGCAGCGGCACCACTGAGCTAAATACCCAGCAATATGTTTTTTTTAGGTATCCTCTCATTTAGTTTAAGAAGCCATAAATAGAATTTCCTTGATATGCTATTTAAAGTGATTAACATTTATGATGACCTATGGAGCAGGTTAGCTACTTTTGGTAATGTTTTGGTATGCAGCTGTGACTATAGAGGACTTGCCTGCCTGTACCTGCCCTCCAAATCCTGTGCTGTTCTGCAGAACGCAGCCTGTGGGAATAACTAGTCATTGAAACTCACCAGCTGTCTTGCTTCAAAAGCTACCACTCTGGTGAATCTGGCTATTTCAAATGCTACTTTTTTACTTTGAGGTGTGCCTAGTCCAGAAGATCTTTGGTGTTGGTCTTAACAAATAAATGGTTGTTTACTTTTAGAACTCTGTGTGTGTTTATTTAAAGGTGTAAATAATACTCAAGAATGTTTGATATACAAAGCTTATTTTTCCCTAATTCATTAAATCACCTTTACTTTTTAATTACTGTATTAAAGCCAGTGAAGTTTAATCATTTTTAACTGAGCTATTAAAGAATGAAACTTTTAAAAATATGTTTAAACAAATAGAGATTTCACATGTTAACCTTGTACTGGTGCATCTTCCTCACCATACCGTGTGGTGAACACAGCTGAATGCCAAGGGATCAGAAACATCAGCAGTGGTGACCGAGGAAGATGATGATGATGATGAAGAGGCTGCTCCTCCTGTCATTGCCCCACGACCCGACCATACAAAATCAGTGAGTGTTTGACAGACACACTGGGCTGCTGTCTTTGGGTTTTTCTTTCTATTTTTTACCCTTGTTTCTAGAGTTCATCTATTTTTCAGACTATCCTAATTTAAAACTTAGATCTTGGGCCAGGGATTTAACTCCGTGGTGCTGCTACTGCCTGTCTTGCAAGTGCAAGGTCCCAAGTTTGATTCCTTGTACCAAAAAAAAAAAAAAAAAAAACCTTAGATCTTTCCTCTTTTCTGTATTTTATATATTTTGTTTCTCGTTTTACATTTCTCTCGAAGCTTTGATGTCTGTCGTCCAGAGGCATTTGAGAGTGAAATTCTAAGGAAGAATTTTAACAGTAGTGATCTCAGAGGCAGCTAAGAAGATAGAGGCTTCTCAGGCGCTGTCCTTGTCACTGTGCTAAGATGAGAAGAGGCTGGGAGGCACTTGGGGATTAGGAGAGGTGGCCAAGCCCTGAGGACAGGGCTATTTCCCCTGTACTGTAGGACTGGCCATTTGAGCTGAAATTTATTTTGTGTAAAACTTTTTGTGAGAATTATGAGGAGTTAATTCAACATAAAAGTTTCCATCCTTTTCCATTTTATCTTTCATAGCAAAAACTTTTTAAGCTGTGCACATTTTGCTACATTGTTATCATGGTATTTTATACAAGGTCTTAAATTTCATTCATAGACCTGCTAATTTGCTAGACAAGATTTTTAAAGGTATGCACCTGTACCAAAGAATGGTGTTTCACATTTATTCTTAGTTACATTTTTTATAGCCTAAAACTGTTGTTCCTCCTCTTTAGGACAATGGGAGAGTGAGCTTAAATTTTGGACAAAAATCGAAGAAGTGAATGGTGTACCAGGAAGAATATTTGACAGGGCTCAGGGGTGGAGCCTAGGTGGCAGAGTGCCGGCCTAGCACGGGCAAGGGCTTGTGTTTGATCCTCAGAACCGCACAAGAAAACCTCAGAATACTTTTCTCAGATCTCAGTAATAACTATATTTCTGCAGATTTACACACGCTCTGTAATTGACCCCATCCCTGCACCAGTGGGTGATTCTCATGTTGATAGTGGAGCCAAGTCTACAGACAGACAAAAAAAGAAGACCAAGATGACAGATGAAGAGATTATGGAGAAATTAAGTACGTTGTCTACATTGTACATTGTTTGTAAATTAACAGCTCTTGAAGTTTTTTTTTTTTCCCCCAGCACTAAAAACAAACAAAAAGGCCCAGGTGGATTTTTAATTTATGCCTTACACTTTTATGTAATGCAAAAGAAAATTTTTTCTTAAAGGAGCAGTAGCTTTAATTAAAATCAGTACAAGCAAAATAACACTCTATGTGCATTTGAAAGATACTATGTGTTAGCTTGTGAAGTCAGCCCCTTGGGGAGTAGTGCTTTTTCCCACATGAGCCAGATCCTAAAGGACTTGATTGAGAATTTTATCAAAGAAGACTTGTGTATATTTTTGCATAATATATCTTAATGGGCACCTATGAAAAAACAGCTTAAATAACTAAATAAGATGACTTTCTATAGATATATGTAGGTATAAAACCTATTTAAGAAAAAGGTAGGCTGTTTTTTGTTTGATTTTTTTGTTGTTATTTTTCCTTTTCCCATTTAACTCATCAACTGTCATTGACTTGAATCAAGCATTTTGAGTAACAAAAACAGGGCTATAGGGAGAGAATAGCAGTGATGACTGATGACAAGAGAGTAGCATTTGGGGTTTTAACACTGACCAGCTGGGCATGGTGATGAATGCCTATAATCTCAGTACTGGTGGCCGACACAGGAGGATTGTATTGAATTCTAGGCCAGCCTGAGCTATGACATAGTGACTTCTAGGCCAGCCTGAACTATAAAGCAAGACCTTGTCTTACAACAAAAAACTAACCACTGACCTAAAGGGGTCAAGGAAAAGTACTCGATAGATGAATTGTTTTAAATACTTAATATATTCTAAATTTATTTGCTTTTGATTCCTCTGTGCTTTCAAGTATAAACCTGGTTTTACTGTGGAGAAAAAGTCGGGGAGGAGAGAGAGAGATATTAAATGAATATTCCTTCTCTTAGGAGAAGTAATAAGTTTTGTTTTGTACCAGGGATCAAACTCGGGACCTTGCGCTTGCCAGTCAGGTGGTGGAACCACTGAGCTAAATCCCCGGCCCAATAGTTTTTTAAAATAAACTAGAACAGTAGCTGTCACTATTTGTGACCTTTAGTTATCATATCCTATCTTTGTTGATGTCTTTTTGCACTTCTTTTTTTAAGTTTCTTTTTTAAGAGATGAAGGACAGCAGTTTGAGACAGGGTTTCATTATATAGTCCAGGCTGTCCATGAACCACTCCTGGCACCGTTAGCTTCTTGACTGGCACCTAAATGCCTAATTTAAGGTTGAATGCCAGCATAAGATTTTTTATGTGAGATCCCTTGACATCCTCCTGTCTTCTTTTAGCTTAACCAAATGAAAATTAGTGATTTTTCATGTTTTGACTTGCTGTATCAATAAGGTAGGATTTTGGGCCCAGGTTCCTTATTTTATTTTGTTATTTTTAATTTTTTTTGATTATGGGAATTGCACTCTGAGCCTTGAGATTGCCAGGCAGGTGCTGTTCTGCTTAGCTACATCCTTGGCCCTGGCCTCCTAATTTTTTTGTTTTGTTTGTTTTGTTTTTTGTTTTTTGAGACAGGGTCCCACTGTGTAGTTGAGACTGACCTGGAACTCACTATGTAGCCCAGGCTGGTCTCAAACTCATAGCGATCCTCCTGCCTCAGCCTCCTGAGTGCTGGGATTATAGGTATGTGCCACCGCACCCAGCCCTAATTTTATTTTTTATTCATTTATTCATTTTTGCTTCATATATTTCATAACTTTGTTAGGTACTGTGTTAGTTACTTTTCTCACATTGCTGAGACAAAATACCCAACACCCAAAGTTAGAGGGGAAAGGGTTTATTTGCCTTACAGTTCATAGAGGTTTCATTCCCTAGTTGGCTGTCTCCAAGACAGGGATGACAAACAGGCATCATAGAGGAGAAACAACATGGAGCACAGAAGGTAGCAAAGATAACAAGGGGGACCTAGCCTCCTAATTTTAAAACCTGTTTTCTTAGTAATGACTTAGCAGATATATGATCAATTCATTTGAAGGATAGTAGCCGGGTATGGTGGCTCACACCTGTAATCCTGGCACTTTTGGAGGCTGAGGTAGGAGGATCACTAGTTCTAGCTCAGCCTAGGTAATTTAGTAACCTAGTTAGACCTTGTCTCAAATTAGTGTATAGAAAGGAGTAACTCAGTGCAAAGGCCCTGTGTTCAGTACCCAGTATTGCAGTCAGTCAAATAATCTTTGTAATATTAAGTGGTTTCCTAAATATACTGAAAGAAGATATACCATAATAGTAAAAAAAAAAGTCATATTCATTTGGATGTGACTTAACTAATTTTGATACTAAGTAGTTTCATAACTTACCATTAGTGGAAATCATTCACTGAAGTAGAAAAGCAGAACAACCAGTTCCCCAGGAATTGTCTGTTTTACAGCAGTACATCCTAAATCCTGAGAACTTCATTAGTCTCAGATAGATGGACACTTGATTGTTCTATAATGTCATCATTTTTTTTTATACCCCCCCATCAAACTCTGGACGTTGCACTTGCCAGGCAGGCGTGGCGCCACTGAGCTACATCCCCGGTCCCTCTGATGTCATTGGTTTTGAGAAAATGATTAATTGGGAGATCTAACATGTTGGAAATTATGTTTCTGGTGACTTTTTACTTTTATTATATTTCTTCGGTGTTTTGTATTTGAAACTTGCATTTGAAAGACTGTTAAAATTTATAGAGTTTACTAAAGGAATAATGATGTGAAAATTAATTTACATTTAAAATGCATTACTGAATTTCCAATTTTTGTTTAAAATAGGAACTATTGTGAGCATAGGTGACCCTAAGAAGAAATACACAAGATATGAAAAAATTGGACAAGGGTAAGTATTTATGACTGATAATATTCAGTACTGTCTGAGTTAATAACATGATCTCTCTTTTTTCACGGACATTGAGCACTCTCATAAATCTATGCTTGGTACCCTGGAAGTTTATTATGAATGCATAGTGCAGTTTGTTCCTAGATGCTATTTAAAAACTTCACTCATTAACAGTGTATGATGGGCCAGGGATTTAGCTCAGTGGTTCCAGCACCTGCCTCGAGTCACTTACCTACCCATGCATGCCTTCATAGAGCTAAGGTGCCTGTGCTGTGCTTTAAACAAATCTGCCTGTAATCCCAGCACTCGGGAGGCTGAGGCAGGAGGATCGCAGTGAGTTTGAGACTAGCCTGGGCTACATACTGAGTTCCAGGTCAGTCTCAACTACATAGTAAAACCCTGTCTCAAAACAAACAAACAAAAAAAACAACTGTATGAGTGTATCTTCTTAAATGCTATTTCCCATAGATGGTAAAGAATTAACTACGTGGAGAAATTTCCCATACCATATATTTAAAACACAATAAAAATATTTATTGTAATGAATCTAACTGTACTGTATACCTAAAATGTACCAATAAACTCAAAAAATATATTTAATGTTTTTTTGTTTGTTTGTTTTTTGGTACCTGGCATCAAACTCTGGACCTCACTCTTGCAAGGCAGGCAGCAGAAACACTGAGCTAACTCCCCGGTCCTAATGTTACTAACAACAACAAAAAAAAGTGGCAGAAAAATGCATAAAACAGAACTATATGGCATTTCAAAAGTAGACCAAATACAGTCTGTTGAGGTGTACTTATCTTTTTAGGTAGAAGTGAAGATGTACATTGAATACAGGATGCACACCAAATGCAGACCTCCCTTAGGGAAGGAGGATGGGGTGGGAGGGACATGCAGAGGGCCCCCACATTTATTGTAGTTCTTTGTTTCTTAAGCATGGAAGTGTTATTCATGAGTGCATGGTATTTTGGGCACAAGGATTACCTCTTTTCTTCTTTGGTTTTTAATACTTTCTTTTCTTTTCTTTCTCTTTTTCTTTACCAGGGATCAAACTCAGGACCTTGCACTTGCAAGGGAGGTGGTGGCCCCACTGAGCTAAATCCTCAGCCTGGACCTGCTTTTACTTCTTTTAGAAGTGATGTCTTATTTGTTCTTTGATTAGTTTTCAATTGCTCAACTTGTAAAATCTCTGTGTAATCCAGGCTGACCTCAAACTCAAAAGTGATTCTCCTGCCTCATCCTCCCAAGTGCTGAGATAATAGACATGTGTCACCGTGCCTGGCTTCAAATTGTAAAGTCTTTGGATGTTAGGTAGTAATGGTTTAGAGACCTGAAATCTGTGCCAGGGACTTAGCTCAGTGGTTCTGCCACCTGCCTCACAAGTGCAAGGTCCTGAGTTCGATCCTCAGTACCAAAAAAAAGAAATTGAAATCTAACTGTCTTTTGTCCCCCCCCCCACCAGGGCTTCTGGTACAGTTTTCACTGCTACTGATGTGGCGCTGGGACAGGAGGTAACTACAACTTATCTACCTTTTTATACTCTAGATATTACTATTAACATTTCTTATAGAACAAAACTAAGTAATCAGTAGAAATCTGTTGTTTAAGTTGAATGTGTTGTAAGAATTGCTATAAAATTATATACCTCAATTCTTACATCAAGGAAGAGAAAGATCTGAGCATGGTGGCACAAGTCTGTAGTCCCAGCAGCCTGGGCAGTTGAGACAGGATGATAGGAGTTCAAGCCCAGCCTGGGCAATTGAACTACTTTTTAATTTTGAGATGGGGTCTTAGACTAAAAACTAAAAACTGGCTGGGAAGATAATAAGTGTGAAGATGCTGGGTTAAATTCCCAGACCTGCAAAAAGAGAGGGGACAAAGAAGAAATTATGAGTTCAGTGTCAAATAATTTTCTTGTTTCTGATTTTGTTTTTGTTTTGTACCGTGGATCGAAGTTAGGACCTTGCACTTCCAAGGCAGGTGGCAACACCACTAAGCTAAATTCCCCAGCCCATAAATAAATATTTTAAAACATTTTTTCTTACTTAGAAGGATTAATTCCTGATACTAGAATGACATTGGGTCAATAAAGAAAGATAATCTGAACAGATACCAGCATTGCAAAGCACTGCACATAGTCTGTGGCAGGTAAAAGGACTCCTTGTGAGCAGGTTGCAGTCTTGTGTAATAACAGTATATGCACAAAAAATTAAATTATAACTGGTTAGTGTTTTTTAACTTTTTTTTTTTTTTTAAATACTGGGGCTCGAACTCAGGCCCTTGCACTTGCGAGGCAGGCGGCAAAACCACTGAGCCAAATCTCCAGTCCATGTTTCTAACTTTCTGGTAAAACTGTTCTATTTTGTTTTTCTTCTGATTTTTTAAAAATTCTGTTTCCATTATAGGTTGCTATCAAACAGATTAATTTACAGAAACAACCAAAGAAGGAATTGATCATTAATGAGATTATGGTGATGAAAGAATTAAAGAATCCCAACATAGTTAACTTCTTGGACAGGTATTCGTATTTTTTAAATATTGTGATAAAAACATAGAAATTTGTATTTTCATAGTTTGATAGAGGATAGTCACATTAGCGTAAAATGCCATTTTTGAGAAGTAAATAAAAGAGAGATAAAAATAGCACATTCCAGATTAGAAGGCCTTTTTCCTACAAGAATATCATTGGCAAGTGAGAAGGCAGTAAAATGAAGGACATTGCTTCTAGTGCCTTGTGTGTACTGCAAATGACAAGAAGCAGTTTTGCTGAGATGCAAGTCTTGACCCACGGACATGATTAGCCACACATTGCTTAAACTTTCAGATTAGTTTTTATTTTAAATGCTGTTTTTCATAAGCAAATTGTATATGTTTATGAAAAGCTCATCTGGCTTAGGAATTGATGTTAAATAAAAAAGCAGACAAGAAAATAATACATATTATTACAGATGTGTTTCTTTTCTATTAAGACTGTAGCCTGTATTCAGAGAATTAAGCTTGTTAGGTACATTCTTTCCTCTTCTCTCCTTCTCTTCCCCAACTATGAGGGGTTGGACACAGGGCCTCACACATGCTAGGCAAGTGCTGTAACTTTGAGCTACATCTCCAACCCTTTTGTTTTTTTGGGGTTTTTTTGGTATGGGGATTGAACTCGGGTCCTTGCGCTTGCAAGGCAGGCCACTGAACCGCTGAGCTATTTTTTAGCTCAGCCCTATTTTTTTTGTTTTTTGATTGTGTTTTGTTTTGTTTTGTTGGCACTGGGAATTGAACTCGAAACCTTGTGCTTGTGAGGCAGATGGCGGAACCACTGAACTAAATCCCTGGCCCTTCCAACCCTTCTGCTTATGTTGAGACAGGGTCTTGCTAGGTTGCCCAGGCTGGGGATATTACTCCCTTAGCCTCCTAACTAGTTGGGATAACAGACACATGTGTATCTGTGCACAGCAGCATGTGTTTTGCTTTGTTGTGTTTTTTGTTTTTATTTTGGTACCAGGGATCAGGACCTTGCGCTCAGGCCATGGAACCACTGAGCAAACCCTGGCCCTTTTTTTTTTCTTTTTAGTAAAATAATCTTGCATATGAATGAAAAAAAAAGACTATTAGAAAATGATAGTAAAAGGAAAGAAAAAACATTAAAGTAAAAAGCGTTTAAAAGAAAATGATAATAGTGGTTGTATTGGAGATAAGGATTATGGGTTATTCTATTCCATATTTAAATTTGTGTAGGATGAATGTCTTAGTTACTTCCTCATTGTTCGGACAAAATACCTAGCACTCACAAGTTAAAGGAGGAGATTATTTTGGTTCAGTTTGTAGGGGTTTCAGTCCAGTCAGCTGGCTCTAAGACAGGGTGGCATGTCAGAGAGAAACAGTTCATGGTATGACAGGTAGGAGGCAAGGAGGGATCACACACACACACACACACACACACACACACACTACATAGACACACTTCCAGGCCGTGCCTACAGTGACCCACCTTTTCCCACTAGGCTTCACCTCAACATCACATCCAACTGTAAATTCATCAGTGGCTAATCTCGTGTTACACCCCGTGATCCAGTCATCTCCCCAAAGCCTCACCTGTGAATACACGAGGCTTTGGGTGGGGATGGATGGATGGATGGATGGATGGATAGATGAATGGATAGATAGAAAGAAAGAAAGAAGAACAATGGGGAAATGATAATATATTTTGAAAGGATTTGGGGGGTTGGTAATAAGGATTCAACCTTTGACCTTGTGCAAGATAGGCAAGTGCTCTACTACTAAGCTGGACCCCTAGCAGTATATTTTGATAACTTAGCTCTAGTTATGGGACTGTGTACATAAAAATAGACTTTAGTACATTTATCTGCCTGCCTGTGCTCCCTGCAATGTTCCTAAGGACTTTTGATTAAACCCAGGGCCTCACATGTGCTAAGCTCTACTGCTGAGCTACATTCCTAGCCTTTTCCATTTTGAGACAGTCTTGCTGAGTTGCCAACATTGACCTTCTGCCTCAGCTTCCAAGTAGCTGGGACTATAGGCCTGTGCCACTGTGCATGGCCCTTTTAGTAATACCTTAACTGGAATAATCTGTGTACACAGTCATTTTTAAATGATTCAAGATTATCATTTCTTTGTGCTGTTACATAGTCTCTTTTAAGCTCTCTTCCTAGCCCTCAAGCTATCAGCTCTTAGGATTTATCGTTATGTTGCTTAACATTTGAATTATTCAACATAGAGTGCCAAGTGGTGAGAAAAAACAAAACTGTGAGTGTGTTTTGCATATTCTATTTTTAGTTACCTGGTAGGAGACGAGTTGTTTGTAGTCATGGAGTACCTGGCTGGTGGGTCACTTACGGATGTTGTCACGGAGACCTGCATGGATGAAGCGCAGATCGCTGCTGTGTGCAGAGAGGTGGGTTTGATTTCTTTGGGATGAGTTCTGCTGTAGTTAGCAAGAGGTGAAAAGAAGGAAATTTTTTTCTGTGCAGGGAATTTTTATTGTGTGAGATACTTTGTACACTCTCTGAATTGTCCTGTAACCTTTCATCTCTGTCTTTATGTGTAAGACAGTTTAAGAATAAGGCACAGACCTTCAAAGAGCCTAATTCACACACGAATTTCAGGAAGGTGATCATGAGCTTACCTTCCAGAAAGGATACATTTGAGAGTAAAAGTCAAATACGTACTCAACAGTGGAAACCAGAACTATCTCAGACAAAGCAAAACATATACAAGTATTCACCTTAACTAGACTGCCTAGCTGTATTGAGCTCACTGAAGATGAAAAAAACTTGTTTCTTTATACTTATTTGTGAAATATACCCTTGCTATTTGCTTATTAAGCCAGTAGAATTTTGCCAAATTCTCTAAGGCTAAGCCAAAAACAAGTTTTCCTTCAGTCTATATCTTTTTCTACAGATGAGACTTAGGTTAATGGTTTGCTTATTGTCACTGAAACTGACATTATAGGGAATCATTGTTACAAAGGACAAAATTATTAAAATGTTGTTAAGCCTATATTTTGTGTGATTTAGCTTTCAGCATTTGTATAGTAATAAGTGAATTATAAGTTTTGTTCTGTTTTTCAGCTTTCATTAAGATGTAAAAACGGTGTTGCTATTTTAGTTTGTTTTTGTTTGGGGGAGGCATACAGGGTCTCTCTCTCTCTAGTTAGGGTGGCCTAAAACTCCCTGTGTAGCCCATAACCCTCCTGCCTCTGCCTCTCATACTGGAATTACAGGCATGTAATTCCAGGCAAGGCCTGGCATGCAATTTTAAATTTTGAGTTATTTATGTTGTACCTAGTTCTGAATATCATATTCTTTAATGAAGTATACTAGTTCACTTAAAAACTGATCAAACTTAAGAATTTATACTTTGCTTTTCTAAAAATTTTATCATAGTTGATATAAAATTTATTTCAGGAGTTCTAATTGCTCTTCACTGGGTTTTCTTCCATGTACTAGAATTTCAAAATTGTGACATTTATTTCTACTTACTTGTAGAGGTTTTATTCTCAGGTTTAAGAATCTGATTAAATGCCTGGTAAATGTAATGGGATAAGACCCAGTTATATCTATTTTTCCTTGAATAAATAGAATGGTATTTTGAATGTCATTTTTACTTATAAATGATGTGCAGACTTCATTTGTTCTACTCTTGTGGGAGTACGAAATTAAAATACTGAGCTGGGAGTATAGCTCATTGGCACAGCACCTGCCTGGCAAGCATGAGGACCTGAGTTTGATTCCTGGTACCAAAAAAAAGAGAGGGAGGGAGAGGAGGAGAGAAATTAAAATACAACAAACTTTTTCTAAGTTTATACTCTCATTATATTCATTCAAAAACTGGAACAGCTGAGCGTGGTGCTATACACCTGCAATCCCCACACTCTGGGAGGCTGAGGCAGGTGGATCACAAGTTTTGAGTTTAGGAGTTCTAAGGCCAGCCTGGGAAACATAAAATGCCCTGTCTGAAAAGAAAAACAATCAATGGAAAGAAAGGACTAGATGAGACATTATTTAATAATGTAGATGAGATCAGAGAATGCCAAAGGATATTCTGGCTAATTGGGGCATTTTGTTTTCATAACTTTGTATGAGATAGTATTTTTTCCTTTCCTTTACAAATTCTGAGTATTGGAGTGTCTTCTCCTGGGTCCTGCAGTCTTTTGAAGACTATTTTCATTGATAAGTGTTTTCTTGTATTCAGTGTTTACAGGCATTGGAGTTTTTACATGCTAATCAAGTGATCCACAGAGACATCAAAAGTGACAATGTGCTTTTGGGAATGGAAGGATCCGTTAAACTTAGTGAGTAACAAATGAAGAAATAACATTACTTTGTTACTTGTTTGTTTCTTATAATATCCTGTCCTTTATTCAGTTAACCTCTTGTATTAAAGTTTTTATGATTTAATATATGGAGAGGAATGGAATCTAGGGGTAAAGAATACAGACTGTGAACTGAGCCTGGTTTAAATAGCAGATCTGTTGCTTCCTGGATAATTTTGGGCAAGTTACTTGATCTCTTTGGGTCTACTTTCTCATTTATTCACTAAGGATAATAATAGTTTCTATTATAATGTTTTGGAGGTTAAAGATAAGAAGCACTGAGGAACAATGTCTGGAACTGCCAGAAAACTGGTGCTATCTTAGGAGTCAGCTTGACTTTGTTTCTACCATGTGTTAGTTTTTCACACCTTACTGCGGTTTTTTTGGTTTTTTTTTGTTTTTTTTTTTTTAATTTTGTAAAGCATCATCAGGGAAGCTTTATGACCCTGACTTGTGGTTGACAAAGGGAACCCCACTTTTCTAACAGTCTTTCTCATCAGGCAGAGTGGAATCTTGAGAAGAATACTGAACTTCTTTTGTCTGTGACTATTATCCTTCAGTTCCAACTTTTCTCTCCGGTAGACTGCTGAGATTTCTCCATCTCTGAAAAATTGAAGGCATTTCTTGGATCAAGAAAGCAAAAACTTTTTTTTCTAATCTCCTAAAGGGCTAGGCTCCTTTTTTAGCTTTTTTCTTCTTAAAATTATATGTTCTAAAATTTATTTGGTCAGACTATATGATGTCCACTCTTTTAATAATAATACTAGCAGAAGAATTAGAAATAGACATTCACCTGCATTTTTAGTAGATACACATGAAAACTGAATTACAATTTTTTGGGCAACATTTTTTCCTAACTCTGCCACATACTAGATAAATGACCATGGGCGAATTATCTACAAAATGTAGCTCTTTCAGTTTTGCCATTTATAAAATAAGTATAATTTTAATAAATATAACTGGAGCTGGGATATAGAGGTCCTGGGTTCAATTCCCCAGGACTGAAGAAAAATTAAAAACGTAAATTTAAAAAGTAAAAAGTAAATGTACCTATTTCATAGGATTAGCATGAGGATTAAATATTTTAATTCTTGTAAGGAACTTAGAGCAATACCTGGCTTGTTACGAGCACTCATTTTCTATATAAATATTTTACCTAAAACTCACGCCTCTTATATTCTCTCCTTTAGAGTTACTGAATAGTAACTCTGCACAATAAGTACAAGGATATCTTTGCAGCATTGTAAAGAAAAACTATATCTGTGTTGTTGAGCAGTGCAGGAATGACAAAAGTAAGTTAATATTTTTATATATTATTTTGTAGTTTTAAAAACACCGAGACAGGTGAATGCACTAAAATGGAAAGATCTCTTAAAATAAAAATTCATTATAGGAAAACAGTTTACAAAAATATCCTACTTAGGTAAAACAAAACAAGCATAGATACTATTCAACTTATTTAATGCATAATGAAAAATCTAAAGCCAAAAACCCTAATTACTAATAGTGGCTATGTCGGAGTCAAATGGGTTGAACAGTGATCCTGAATTCTCATCCAGACTTCTCACGAAGCTAACATCAGGTGCTACCTAACCATCCCATCCCCGTTAGACAGTGGGGCAGCTGAGGCGGGTGGAGTACATGAGTGCTGGTCAGCATTCTGACAGGACTGTCGTAGCAGTCACTGGTGTTCTTTTTTCTAGGTTCTGTGCTAAGGTGGGTACTTAGTCTGCCTTCTGTTTACTTTATTCAAAATAGGTTTCATATCCTGAACTTTCCCTAATTCGCTGCATTTGGTTTTGGTGTTCGCCTTTGGTAATTTTTTTTTTTTTCTTTTCATATCTCTTTCACTTAAAGTTTTCAGGGAAGAATGAATTATTCACAATAAAAGTTTCCCTAATAACTTTCACTCTATAAAAGTAAAAAGTTAGAATATGTATTTTAAAAGAAAAGTATTTTAAAGATTCTGATTTATCTCTTTAAAAAGAAAAGGCTGAAACCATCTTTGAAATCTTTAATTCTAGATGTTTTGTTTTGTTTTGTTTTGTAGCCGACTTTGGTTTCTGTGCTCAGATCACCCCCGAGCAGAGCAAACGCAGCACCATGGTTGGGACCCCTTACTGGATGGCCCCCGAGGTGGTCACACGGAAAGCATATGGCCCCAAAGTGGATATATGGTCTCTGGGCATCATGGCTATCGAGATGGTGGAAGGAGAACCTCCATACCTCAATGAGAACCCCTTGCGGGTAAGGCCAGTTAATACCAGCCACACTGTGAGGAGAGAACGCTTTTCCCTAAACGTGTGCTTAGAACTTGGTGTGTCTGGCGGGGCATTTAGCTCAGTGGTTCTGCCGCCTGTCTTGCAAGCTCCAGGTCCCAAGTTCGATCCCCGGTACCAAAAAAAAAAAACACCAGAAACTTAGAACTCGGTGTGTCTGGAATCAGCCAATATTTTAGAGTAGGAAGGTAATAAAACCTAATTTCTGCCCTTAACTGTCCATCTAAAAACCATATGGCTGCTGGGCGAGGTGGCACACGCCTGTAATCCCAGCACTTGGGAGGCTGAGGCAGGAGGATCACTGTGAGTTTGAGACCAGCCTGGGCTATCTAGTGAGTTCCAGGTCAGTCTCAACTACATACTGAGACCCTGTCTCAAAAAACCATAAATCAATCAATCAATCAATCATATGGCCTTTGTGTTATAGAACTGAATATGTTAGCTAAAGAGTTTGTCAGTTTTTTTTTAAATGACCAAAGTGTTACATAATGATATACTCATCATGAGCTCATACATGACACATCTTAAACCGCCCCCCATCTTCTGGACCCCTTCTCCTTTATTGTGGGGGGTACATGTTTGTACTGCCTAGTGATCACATTTCTCTTAGAGACTTGGTACATGTACACAAGATGTCACTGTTTGTTTGTTTTGTGCCAGGGATTAAGCTTGGGGCCTTGTGCTTGCGAGGCAGGTGGCAGAACTGTTGAGCTAAATCTCTGGCCCTCCTGTTGTTTATTTTGCTCTTTATTTCTACTTTGGGTTTATTTAAGCTTGTGTGTCTGATTCATTTTACTTCATATGAAGTCTGGTGACATGACTGTTTTTCTATAGAGGACTCAAGTTTGTCTTTTATGGTAGACTAGTACTCCATTATGTATAAACACCACATTTTTTAATCCATCTATATGTCCATGGACATATTCTAAAATTTAGCTGTTGTGAATTGTGTTCAAGTTTATAGATATTTAATAGCTCCTTGGTTTATTTTGTAGTATTCTTACAATTCTTACTTACATAATTCATCCAAGGCCTTACCCTGAGATACATCCCCAGCCCTTTTAATTTGTTTTGTTTTGTTTTGTTTGAGACAGGGTCTCGCTATGTAGTTGAGACTAACCTGGAACTCACTAGTAGTCCAGGCTGGTCTTGAACTCACCATGATCCTCCCTACCTCAGCCTCCCAAGTGCTGGGATTACAGGTGTGCGCCACCATGCCCAGCTATACAGTTTTTATAATTAATTTAAAACACTTTAGGCTGGGAATTTAGCTCAGTGGTTCCACTGCCTGCCTTGCAAGCACAAGGGCCCAAGTTTGATCCCCTGTACAAAAATAAATAAAATAAAACACTTTACAGAAAACTTTTGAGAGCCCTGTAGTTTCATTCACTGAGTTAGTGTGCTTTTTGGCTTTGTTTTATTTTTATTGTTTAAGGTAGTCTCTTGCTATGTAATCCAGGCTGGCCCGGAACTCAAGGTGATCCTCTTGCCTCAGCTTCCTAAGTGCTGGGGTTACAAGTGTGTGTCACCATGCCCACTAATTAATGTTGATTTGCGCACCTGCCTTTTGCCAGGTACTAGTCAAAGTGCTGCCTAAAAGAACCAACAAAAATTCCTGCCCTCGTGAACTTAACATTCTAATGGGAAGGAGAGAGGCAATAAAATACAGAGGAAAGGGCCAGGATTTAGCTCAGTGGTTCTGCTGCCTGCCTCGCAGGTGCAAGGACCTGAGTTGTATCTCCAGTACCAAAAAATAAATTAAATAAATAAATAAATAGGAAAACTGAATAGTTTAAGCAATGGACTCCTAAGTGCTGGGGGCTGGTATGCAGAAGACCAGGGTGTTAGCTTTAAAAGGATGCTCTGGGAGAGGGTTGCTGAAGCAGGCATTTGTACATAGGAGGTAAGAAGTGATACTTATCCAGGGAAGAGCATTACAGCAGAAGGAGCAGCAAATGCAGAAACCCTGTAGCAGGAGTGTACTGGTACATTTTTGAAGATCCTGAATAACATTCTGCATTGCTTGAGGACATTGAGAAAACTTTGGGCAGGAATGTGAATTCCTGAAGAAGTGAGGCAGTGTGTAGTGCCATGGGCAGCCTTTGAAAGAATTTGAACTTTTAGTCTGGATAAGATGAAGGCGCCACTGGAGAATTTTGAGCAGAAGAGTAAAATGTTCTAACTTATTTTCGGTCTTGGGATTTGAACCCTGGGTCTTTGCATTAAGCTACAGCCACTCCCTTTGTTTAATTTTGAGAAAGGATACGCTAAAGATTGGGCAACTATTACCACAGAAAGGGAAAGAGGAAGAGGAAGAGACTCATGGACCTGGTAAAGAACAGTCACTTTGTTGAGGTACCTCAAGTATGTTGAAAGTATTATGCTGTTTCTAGGCCTTGTACCTGATAGCAACTAATGGAACCCCAGAACTTCAGAATCCGGAGAAACTTTCTCCAATATTTCGGGATTTCTTAAATCGATGTTTGGAAATGGATGTGGAGAAAAGGGGTTCGGCAAAAGAATTGTTACAGGTAAATTTAGAAATGATGCTATTGTTGGAAAAAGTTGACTTTTTTGAGTAACCAACTGCAAGCTTTCATAGTGTTGATTATATTTCGCTATTCATTGACCACCAGGAATAAGGCAGTTGCTGCATTTAAGGATTCTAGCTATTGGGAATAAAATTCATTAATGCCATAACTATAATTTTTGCATATTATTCTCAGGCCTGTTCAGTGTTGTCATGAATATATTTATGAGCAATTTAATTGTAGATTGTATGAAGTTAGGAAAACTAAAATAGGTCTGCTGTCAACTACAAGAGTGATAAACTAAAAGAAGTAGTGATATACTCATGAGGGTTTGGGCAGGTATTGAAATAATGTGTTTTGTTTATTAAATAAACTGTGATCGTACGTAGTATTTGGGGCCTAGTTGAAAGAAGCTGATGACTTTTATACATTGTCTCTGTGTCCCCTTCCCTCCCGCTGCAGCATCCCTTCCTGAAACTAGCCAAACCATTATCGAGCCTGACACCACTGATCATGGCGGCTAAAGAAGCAATGAAGAGTAACCGTTAGCATCACTGCCGTGGCCTCATGCTCTTTTCTCCATTTTTCTAAAGAAGTCTTTTAATATATGAAAATTACTACTCTTGGGAGTTTAAAGAGATGGTCTGCATGACATGGAGGAAAAACACAAACTAGTCCCTGAAGACAGCCAAGAGAATTTTGAGATGAACCCTTTCTTTAGGGTCCAAAAGGAGTGGAGGACTGAATCACTGTGCTTACATCTTGCAGCAGACAGCCGAGCCGGGCCATTTATCATGCTACTTGCATTTTATTTTGCCTACTTCATTACAGTAGATCCTGTTTGTTGTCTCCTTTAGGGTGTTTTCATTACTTGAATGGCAGATTTGAGTTTTTCAGAGTATTTGTTTCATCTGCTGGTCTTCTGTTCTCCTTCATAGCTTTCCTTTTCTTTGACTTACTCCATTTGAGTTGCTTTGAGAAGTTTTTCTCATGCCTAAATTCAAGTATGATAAAAATTATGTAGCTCTTTATGTTGACAGAGGAGGTTGATAGGGTTTAACCTTTTTTAGAAGTTAAGACCAGCTATTGTTACATGTAATATTTCAGCTCAGAACTTGAACTGAAAGAAGGGGTAGAAAAGTATGTGATTTTTAATTTTTTTTTAACAAATGTGAAAGTCCTTTTTAGAAATTTCATGGTAGTGAGTTTGGCATTTTGTTACATGTATAGAAAGACTAATAATCTATATTTATAACTAAATCATTGAATCAGAAAAAAATCCCATGGACTGTAACATCCTTACAATTTTGTCTTCTTTTTTGACCTGTTTTCTCTTTAGATTTGGCTGGAACCAGAGTTGTTTGCTTTTGCTCCAGTGTGTGTCTTATGACTTTAGTGCCCCTACCTGCCCTTTTCCCTTCATCTTGGAAATATGTTTCTGTATATGTTGTAACTTTAGATGTTTTTGTTTTGATTAACCCTCTCACTTCACACAAACTCCCCACTCCCTGTGAAAATAATACAATAACTGTTGAATTTTCAGAATTTAAAGTTAACCTTTCTTCCTCCATTTAAATGGAAAGATATTTGGGGCTAGCAAAAACAAAATGAAACTTGGACCTTGGTGAGTTCTAAAATAGAATTATGAGAGAAATGTCAGTATTACAGACATGCAGCTTATGACTGGCAGAGTAAGAATTTGTAAGTTCCAATGTTACTAGCCCATTACCAATGTTTTACTATTAGGACTTACTGTTGATGGATTCATTTGAGATACTGAATTATTTTACTTTTTGTTTATGTTTTTTCAAATAAGTAGAGAGTATTCATGTTTTTAAAAAACTGGAAAAGAAAAATGAAATGTTCTTATTGATAGTAAAACTTTTTTATTTTAAAGATTTAATAAAAGGTCTGTGACCTGTAGCATTAATTATTAGAGTACTCTCTTTTCTCCCCTCCCCTCCCCTCCTCTTTTTTTCTTTTCTCCTCTTGTTGTTGTCATTGTTTTACTTTTGGAGGAGGTATTTTCCCTTCTAAATGCCATTTGTGGTAGGTTCTGGGATATTATTCCCACTGTCCTCGCCCAAGGAACTTCACACCTGCTGGCCACCCCATAATAATACAAATTGTGAATTAAAATAATTTTACTGTTTTGAAATGTATTGAGAAAACTAGCAGGAGATTATTTTCTGTTATTGCCATCATATTTGTGTTAAGATACCAGTCCAGTATGAGAAGAAATGGTTGTTTTTTTAATGGAGGGAGGTTTTCAGAAAAATTAGTACAACAACAAGTGAAACTTAATATCTGGAGCACTTAAATGGCCTCTGTTTTCAGTCTTGGTTCTCTATTTCATTTTTCTCTGGACCATATTTGGCCTTCCACAGCCATTCCTAAATTACAGAAGCAAGCCGTGTAATTTCTGCTGGAAAGCTGTGGTACCTCCGAGTTCTGGATTGGCACACCCTTTGTCAGCTGTTATCTGGCTGGAGGATGCAGAAGATGCTGCCTTGAAATAACCACCAGGCAGACAAGGAGACTGAGCTGCCTGACTGCCCAAGAAGGCACATCCGTCCTGAGCACAGAGACCAGGCACAGGCCACATTCCTCTTGCCTCCACAAAGGGCTTTTCTGTTGATAGAAGCATTTGGGGTTTGTATTTGCCACTTCTTTGATGGTTACCTGCGTGTCCATTGCTGGCAACGGACTTTGTCATTAAAATCTGACTCCTAGTTAAGGAGCTGCACTGTGGTTTATTCTTTACTTACTTGGATAAACTAACCTGTCATAGAAATATACTTTGGTTAATTCTGAACTGTGTGGTTTTTAAACAAAATAATCTTAAAAGCAATACAGAATTGTGATTTATTAATTTTAAATTAAAATGTTCAGATCCTATTGAAAGAACAATTATATCTGAATCAAGATTGATGGATTTTTAATGATTGCCTTTTGTATTCACCCTTTTTGTCATCACCTTAAAATAAGAATTTCTATTTAAATCTGAGAGTTACCTTAGTCCTCTTGTATTATTAAGACAATGTTAGTATAGGGCTTATTTATTATTTCTGTAGACTTTCTGGTGGTCCTAGAGTTATCTTTTTTCTCTTCTTCCTTTTGCTGCTATTATGGAACAATTAAAACTGGGAAACCATGCAAATACTGAACATTTTATCCCACCTAGAATAGTGAACGAGTAGAGTGACTGTGTGGTCTACAGTAAGTGGCTGTGAAGCTCTGACTTCTTGGGTTGAGTGCCTGGCACGAAGCATGAATTCTCTTCCTTTCTATATAGATAGTAAGCTGCTTAAAACTTACCTAGTAACCACCAGTCTTAAACCTATGCCTTAACCAGCAGTCGTAAACTATCTATGAGTATTTCTCCTTAGGGCTCACGTAACACATTTGTTCATATATACTGTATTCTAGCCAAAATAATTTTAGATCTGACCAAGTAACAAATATAGTTGGAAAAAAAATAGGTGCTTAAAGAATTTGCATCAATTATCAAATCTAACATTTAAAAAATATATTGAGATCCATGTCCATTGAAATGTCTAGGTATTGCTGATTATAGCTAAAATGCCATTGAATACTGATTTTTGGGTTTTATAGTGGAATTTCATAATAATATAAAAAGCAGGTTGTCTGCCTTGTCTCCTGGGCTCCTGCAATAGACACTTAAGCAGTTAAAGTCAATTTTTCTGTTTGTGTGCATACATAAGTGTGCAGGAAAGAAATACACAAACACACGTGCGTGTGCTTTTTTCCCTTACCCAGCACATTTCTTCCACACTGGCAAAGATGCTATGTTTCATGCTGTTGGAGCCAAAGAGAGGAACCAGCCATTGGCCTGGCCTGAAAGAACTGAAGTCTTTCTCACCATGCAAGAGCAGTTCCAGGAGGACAGGCAGAAGGACATGTATGATAAACGTCAACTTTTCATTTTATGTTAAGAAAAAGAATTGTAGGGCCCAGGGATTTGGCTCAGTGGTTCTGCCGCCTGCCTTGCAAGCACAAGGACCTGAGTTCGATCCTCGGTACCAAAAAAGAAAAAGAATTGTAGGGCTGAGGATTTAGCTCAGTGATTCTACCATCTGCTTCGCAAGTGTAAGGTCCCAAGTTTGATCCCTAGTACCAAAAAAAGAAAAGAAACAATTGTATTTGAAATTCAGCATCTTTGTTTGGAATGTGTTGGCTTTTATCTCCCCTCTTGCTTTGGTAGGTAGAAATACAGTAAAGTGAAAATAGCTTAACTTTTATCTTCAAACTTTTATATTAGTTTAATTCCATTCAGTTATTTAATTGTTACATTAACATTAACTGCTGTATTTGATGGCTTCATTCAATAATTTTGTTCTTCAGGGCTAGAAATAAACTTTTTTAATGTTTATTTTTCCATTTCCTAAACTTCTATTTTTTTTCTTTTGATTAAAATAGCCTAAAAATGTTTGTTTGCTTGCTTGTTTTTGTACCAGGGAACTTGCGCTTGCGAGGCAGGTGGTAACACCACTGAGCTAAATCCCTGGCCCTAAAATGTGTATGTTTAAAAAGGATAGTACAGCTAGGCTTGGTGGTACATGCCTGTAATCCCAGCACTTAGGCTGAGGCAGAAGGATTACCATGAGCTTGAGCCTACATAGTGAGTTCAAGGCCAGCCTGAATTACATAATGAGACCCTGTCTCAAAAAATCCAAAAAGGGGGCCAGGGATTTAGCTCAGTGGTTCTGTCGCCTGCCTCATAAGCACAAGGTCTCAAGTTCGATCCCCACTACCAAAAATAAAATCAAAAAAAGAATAATAGATTCTCAAAGAGCATGCAGCATTTTTTAAGGATACATGTTTTTTAAATGAGGCCAGGGTGCCATTTTGAATATCCTATAAAGCTTCTGATTAGAACGTTTCTAAAAATTTGGGGGTAGAAAGCATGGCCCTTCCCTCCTTTTTCTTTTCCTTTCAGTACTAGGGATTGAACCTAGGGCCTTGGCTACCTGAGATGGGGTCTCATTATATCAGCAAGTTTCCCAGTCTGGACTAGAACTTGTGATCCCTGCCTCAGCCTCCCAGAGTGCTGGTATTACAGGCATGTACCAAGCACCACACCTGGCTGACCCTTCCCTCTTTTAAATCAGGTTCTTTTTTTTTTTTTTTTTTTTTTTTTTTGGTGCCAGGGATCGAATTCAGGTCCTTGTGCTTTCGAGGCAGGTGCTGGAACCACTGAGCTAAATCCCCGGCCCTTTTAAATCAGGCTCTGAATAAACTTCTTACAAATATTCCTGGCTCTCAGATCCAGGAAAACACTGATGCTCTGTTTGAACACTTAAGTAACTAATGCTCAACTGGCTGAGGTATAATAGGAATCTAGCCAGAATTTCTGCATTCACTGTACCAAGAAATCCTTTCAAGTGTAGTGCTTGAGCTGGGCACAGTGGCAGTCAACTATCATCCCAGCTACCTGGGACACTGAGGGAGGAGGATCACAAGTTTGAGGCAGGCTTTAAGACATTACCTTATTATACAATTTTAAGTTGGGATGAGAGGTCTAGGCAATGACTGGGTAGGATGTAGTTGTTAAACTATTAAGCTGTTTAGTCCTGTTCTAACGTAGATAATTATATATAATATTTATTATGCAATACATATATAATTGCACTTTGTTGCCTCGGCTGGCCTCAAATTTATCTGACTCGTGATGTTCTCTTGCTCTTAACCTCCCCAGCAGTGTGCATCACCATGTCTGGTTTATATTTCTTTAATTATAGCAGATGGTCAAAGCATTTGCTTAAGAAAGGTTCAAAAATGGCTGGGTGAGTGCTATAAGAAGCAGAGGTTTCTACGGCTTAGTGCATGCTTTTCTACTCCTTTAATGTTTGTGGCTGTTTTAAAATTAGGGAATTATTTTATATGTTAGATTATTTAGGAGGAGTGGAACAACGAAAGGAAAGTACCTTGTGCCTTTTATTAGGGTTTTCTGGCTTGCCTCTCGCCCTTTTTTTTTTTTTTTTTTTTTTTTTTTTGGTACCAGGAATTGAACTCGGATCCTTGCGCTTGCAAGGCAGGCCACCGAACCACTGAGTTAAATCCCCGGCCCTTCAGGTCATTTCTTATACAAATCTTAGCCTTTCCTGCTAGTTTTCTTGTATTTTTGTTTCCTTTGAAAGTTTCTCTGTCCCTTTCACTAGATTTTCTGAAACTCACCACAAAGTTGCAAAAACTGTTTGAGAGTATTTCCTGTACAGTTAATCTACTCGGCTAATAACAGCTCCTCGGAGGAGCTGGGAGTTAGGGGGTGCTGTTACTCTCCCAGCTGTCCACGCAGTGTCTGAGGCTGGGCCTCTTTTCTCTCCTGTGTTACATTCTTTTATACCCTGACCTCTGTGTCTTCTTGCTTGGTGTAGCCCCGTGTCGGAGAAGTGTGCTTCCACAAGCTGAAAACTAGGTACGGGTACCAGGAAGTAGAAGTGTGAAGAGCTTGGCCTATCTGAATTTCAGCCCCAGACTTCACTGATCAGACAGAATGTTGGGTTGGAACTACTTTTGAGAATGTTGAAGTCAGTGCTTTCTTGTCCTAGAGCCTTTTACTGCTATATGTTGGTTACTTTTCTTGTTAAAATATCTGACACCCACAAGTTAAGGAAGAAAAGTTTATTTCAGCTCACCATTTGCAGAGGTTTCATTCATAGTTGTCTGACTCCAGCACAGGGTAATATGGCAGAGGGGCATCACAGAGGAGGAGTGGCGTGGCAGTGAAGCAGCAACAAGTAGTACTACGAGCAGCAGCAGGCCTGCCTTCCCTTTCCTTTTTATCCCTTGTAGGTTACCTGTCTTTTGGGCGGTGCCA